GCAATGGCGACTCCGCGGACCGCCCGCGGCCGACATTGTAACATTGCTACGGAGCCATGTACCATCAATATACGCCCAGAACGTAGGAAACTGTATACCGTTGTGCTACAAATGGAACAATGAACACCCTGTTTCGGTTTCCTTTCGCTTCAAGGTGCTGTCTCGTTCATTTGAAAATGTAAAACTGAAAAAGTTCGCTCTTCGGGATAACTGGTACTTGACCGGGCATAACGGTATCAATTATTACAAATCGCAAGATCTCGTCAAGACCAATCCACTGGTATTTTTCTCTAAGCTTGATCTTTCTTACTTTGGAAAAGGCAGAAGGTCGCATCAGTCCCTCTCTTAGTCCGCGTGATGAAAACGGCGAATCAGGGCGAGGGCTAAAATGAGACCTGTCATGCGGCATGTTTTATGTCGGTAAGGACTACAGACGATGCGTGGCGCGTGCTGCCAAGTGCTTGTGTGGTCTCATTTGTTTTGTATGGCGTTGCGAAAGCACAACCCGCGCACAAAGCCGGCGAGCGCACGTTCGAAAACGACGCCGCGTATCGGCCAACGGGTGCCGTAGCCGAAACTGGCGCCTAAGGAAATTGGAATGGGGAATCGCTTGCACCTTCGATCCTGCATGTGCCACGTGTCATGCACACGACAGCAGTTGAGACATATTTACCCACGTTCAACAGTGTTCATGTTTTATGCCACAACTCGGCAGGCTGAGCCGGTGGAATCGAGAAGCCAACTTTAACACGCGCACGGGTGGCCGGCTAGATACCCTTCGCTCGGGTGGGGGTCAATTTGACCCACCTGAGATCTCGGAAACTAAGAGAGCTAGAAACACCAAATTTTCAGGGTGTGATGATCACTACGTGAACTCACTTAGGTCAAATTTGTTGGTTCCTTGGTTGTGGCCTTCGGATCAAATACGGTCAAGTCCCAGGCTGGTCCCCAAAGTGCCCCCAAAACCCAGATAACTGTTTCTGAGCAAAAGGTCACATGCTCAGTTAAGGTCAGTGACCGTTTTTTACCTTTCGAAGGTCATGGTGGCCAAAATCATACAAGACTGCTCTGGGTTTTGCATTTGGATAAGCGACAAAGATTACGCCAGGCAGCATGTTCCTAAAAAGAAAATGCTGACCTGGGTCATTTCATGTCAATGAACTATTCTGACCTCTAAGAAGACCATGGAAGATGTAGAATGCGGTTCCTGCTATCAGTAAATCCAAAATGAGCACCAGACACCATACCACACAACAAGCCCTGAAGTAATAAAGCAGGCTGGATTTGACCTTGGTCCGACCGTTATACCTTATCTTAGGTCAACGTGATTTGCTCATTCAATATTTGTGTCACCTAAGAAAGCATCTCAGAGATGTGTGGCTTCGCCTAACACTCCGTTGTTGCATCAGATCGAACGATTCCCTAGAAATTGGCTTTGCTGAAACCATGGTCTGACTTTGACCTGCCATAGATCAGCGACCTTACAAGGTACATGCAAGTTTTCGATACCACACGATCCGCTTCTCAATTGTCTACGGTTATGCCAAATTTGGCGCGCTGTGCCGCGCCGTTCGGAAACCATTCCAGAAAAACCTTCGGGGGGGGGGGGGTCAATCTCCCCTCCCATCCGAGCGCGTGTTAATAAAGCCTCGATAAACAGCTACTGTTGGTGTGGCCAACACAAGACTGTGCAACGTATGGTTGTGGCAGAAATTCTCGGATACGCCGGGATTGTCGACACTTCGAGAACACGGTACCGAAGCACACTGCTGTGTAAACTGTCACAGTGTCCAGCTGAATTTACATCACGGCGGGCGCCGATTCATTGCCTGCGGTTGCGACCCAATTTTGCTCTATTCTGACACTATCTCGTTCAAACAAATATTTTAAATAAAGGGCTGTGAAAACGCTTTTTCACGAAATGGAAAAAAAACATCGGCGGATCGTCCAGTCGCCGTCACCGAAAGTTTTAGTTAAAACTTCGGAAGGCCCGTGCGCCGTATGTGAGCCAGCAGCATCAACATTTTTAATTAATGGGTGACCAGGGAAAACTATGATAACAACGTAAGGCATATTTACAACAATGGGTACAGAAACGTAAGAAGAGGTAGATACACATATAAGTTAATGATAGGTTACAAAATATACATTAAATACAGGTCGTTTTTAGTGAAGCAATCTGTTTCAAGGACAAGCGCAATGCTTTCAAGAGAGGCGTTGTTGGTATGACTGCACAGAGGAACAGAAGCATCGCAGCGGTGATTAAGACTGCTACAAACGTGTAGCGAATTCGGCGCTAGCCGTGACGGCCAGAACGGCTCTCTAGAGGCGTCTGGAATCCACGTCAGATGTCCAGCAGCAATGAGCATCTGGAGAGCAGAACCTGGAAGATGATTAATACACTTTGAAGGCAGACGAATGGTAATCATGGTCATAAGCGTTGCATGATTTCATGCTGTTCTGTATTACAGAGGTTTTGTGCTCCATTGACTGAGACGAACGCCCATGCGGCAAAGTATTTTTGTACGTGTCAGCCGCATCAGCCAGATCAGTAATGCGCTCCCCGCCGCAGTGCCACAGATAGAACATTACCATGGAACGTATTCGACCACCGAGTGCAGCGCTACATCTGATATGCAAGCGTTTGAGCGAAGTTGGCACTAGTCTCATGTTTTATAGCGTTGTTTTTACTTGATAATTGGCATTGACCGGTTTAACTCATTGGCATTGACCGGTTCCAACACATCGGCTAAGTCTGCCCATGCTATATGTTTTAGATTTACTTAGTTTTAGACTTAGTTTTAGACTTAGTTTTAGACTTAGCATGCGTTTTAGACTCAGCCGACTTAACCTATGTGTTAAAGAGCGTCCCGCGCACTGGCATGAACAGTGCCGGACTGGTGCCAGCGTCACTTTGCTATTTTAGTCAATGTTGTAAGCGATTTACCTATGGTGCCGGACGGCATTTAGTGCTTTACCGGCTCGGAAAAATGGCTGTGAACATTTTACTTTTGTAAGTCATGTGGGCGTTCGAATCAGGTGTCCATTCATTCAGCCCACCCCTTTGATGTTTGATGATGTCAAACTCTCTAAGCAAACAGAGATTGTGGATATATGTTGAACGGGTCATGCCATCCACAAAGCACATGTGGATCAAAGAAAACGAAATATTAGATAGTCATGTCATTTTTGGAGAGATCTAAAAATCATCGCATCAGTTGCCCAGAAAAACGGGCGGGCCGTTCTGTTGGTACGGTATTTGTTTACAGCCAGGCAGCCAGAATGGGTGGAGGTACGAATCTCATTTCAATGTGCCTATAAATGTACCGTCTGCAATACATGCGTTCATTATGAGTTTTTGCGAGGCACGGCTTCCCCAGTAATCGTTGCGCATCTGGGGGTGTCACCATTTTGAAATACGGTGCCGATTACAAAACGTTGAAGAAACTGCGGCCCCGGTCGTGGTGACATTGATATCACAGTGCGCCACGTTCATTGCCTGCATTTGCAACACATAGTCGTCATTCTGTGTACTATCCCGTCCAAACATCATCTTACCTAAAAGGCTGCAATTCCAGCTTCTTCGCGTCGTCTAAATGTATCCGGGTGATCGCGCAGTCGGCCTCGGCAAGTGCTTCATGTAAGACGACGAAAAGCACAAGCGCCGAATTTTACCGGTGTCCGGCACACCGAAGTCGGCACACCGAAGTCATATGTCGAATGCCTTGCGTTGAAAATTAAAGGGAAACCACAAGTATTGAGCGAAGAATAGCTTGCCAGTGATGCAATGAAGAGACTCGTAAAATACAGCTATTGCAAAGCGAAGTTGACTGCTATGCCAAAGTGCTTCGGGGTTTTAAACCCCGAGTTTTGGAGTCCACCCCTCCAATTTTCTGTCATGTTCATCATATATAATCAGCACGTGGTATACACCTAACCATGCAGACAATCGCTCGCACAAGGATCGTTTTCCAAACCCCATTCGATGCACTGCAGCCAGACCCGCCTAAGACTGTCCGCGGCCCGCAGAGCAAACAGAAATGGTACGATGACCGGGCTGTCGGTACAGAGTACATGCCTTCATGGGCCGGGTCAGCCTGCAGGCATCCATTCCTGACTGGAAACGCATGGATTTGGTACAAGGTACAGCATGTTGAAAAAATCTGCTACAGGCACGGGTACGAGGCTTACGAAACGCGGTTACGAGCACCGTTACCAGTATTACAAAATATGACACGAGCATCGTTGCCAGTATTACAGAATACGGGCACCAGCAGCGTTACCAGTTTTAGAAAATGTTCTGGCCTTCAGTGCTAATATTGTCCACATTCAGATTGTGAGACACTGAAGTCACCAGTGTTAAAAACAATGGAATTGTGTAGTATCCTTCCCTTTTTCAATTTCCAATATACGTCAACATAAACATGCAAGATGAATATCCAATCATATACCAGATATACAAACAAGATGTATCGCATTTTAAATGAAGCCTCGAGCCAATAGGCAGCAAGAGCCAACATCAAGAGAGGCCATAATTTTGCTGGCAGCCAGCATTCTACGTTATAAGAATTCTGGAATGCCACGACATTCAGTTATGAGAGGCGTAAGGTGATGCATTTGGGTAGTTTACGCAATGAGGGCATTAACTATAGAAGGAGGGCCTGGGGTTAGACCAGATCCAGGAAGACAGGGACCTGTGGGTTGTCATTTCCTGGATGTTGAAGGCTGAAAAGCAACGCGGCCTGCTGGGAGCAAGGCGCTTGGGAAGCGTGAGGTTACTGACAGTGAGTGCTCATTAGAAAAATAGGAATTGCTGTCATAAAGTCTGTACTCAGTGTGTTTGTACTTTGTCAGACCACACCTAGATTAGTATGCGCAGGCTTTGTCGCCATAGTTCCGGAGCGATATAGGTAGGCTGGAAAGAATATCTAGGAGGTAAGAGTAACATTCTGAAATCTACCAACCGAATTCCCATATTTTGTTCCCATAATCACATCGGGCTACATAAGCCAGGACAGCCGCTGGCGCACGCTGGACTCCTCGTTCTGCGAGGCCACCCACTTCCTCAGCCCGACAAGCACTACCGAGGCGATCACGAGCCCCATGCCGGTGGCCGTCAGTGGGCCGGGCACCTCAGCAAACAGCACAAACTGCCAGCAGACGGCGAACACCGCTCCGCAAACGCTACGCACGATAGCCACAGGGCCGGCCTCTTCGGCGAGGGAAGCGCACGTCAGGCACAGCTGACTCAGAAAGCTGGCGGCGACGAACGTCAGAAGCATGGCCGCCTCGGGCAGCGAGCGCGGTATCTTGAGCTGTGCCACCGCCAGGCACAAGCCCAGCACCAGCGGCGTCGCCACACCCGAGAAGCAGGTCATGATGACGGTCGGTGGCACGCCCTTCAGCATGCGTACTACCACGTACTTGCTGGCGATCAACAGCGCGCCTGTGAGGGCTAGCGCCGCGCCGAGGATGCTGACATCCGTCTGCGACGCGTCGGTGCCGAACAGCACCGGCGGCCGCACGATCAGCACCATGCCGACCATCGTGACCCCGATCGTGGCCACGTGCAGCCAGCCGCACGGCTCGCGCAGGAAGCAGCGCGCGAACATGGCCACGAACACCGGCACGCTGACGAGGATGACGCTGGCGTCCGCCAACGACATGTGTCGCAGGGCGTAGAACTTGAAGACAATGCCGGCGGTGCCAAGCAGGGCGCGCAGGAGTAGCAGGCAGCGCCGACCCGCAGGGAACAGGTCATGCCCCGAACGCAACGCCGCCACTAGGCTCGGCACGAAGAAGCCGACGAAACGGAATGCCGCCAGTTCGGCCGGGTCGAAGTGGTCTAGCAACTGGATGAGGAGTAAGCAGGTGGCGCCGAAAAACCCTGAGCCGAAGGCTAAGAGCAGTCCGGCTTGCGATGGGTCACAGCAGGTCCAGTGGCCGGCTGGTTTCTTGGCGCATGCTTCGGAGGCCGCTTCCGGGAGCTGTTTAAGGGAAGTGGTGTGTTCTATTTCACGTGGACTGTCAGGGGATGGCGCGCCATGTCTCTCTCCGTTTGGCTCCTGTGCTGGGTCCTCGGGCACCTCGTCGATCACGTGATATTTGATTGTGCTCCGCCCAAAAGGCAGCCGGTGCTGATGCTGTGCCTGCAACCCGTACGATCGTGAGAGGATATTATCAGTTTTTCAGTCATACCACCATGGTCTGTTTTGTTTTGGTAGCTATCCAGGCGAGTTGGTATCAGTTCAGGTCAGTTCATGACTCCTGATCACGAACCGCATTCGGCGATTGATACCTTATTTTCACATCTACCGTCCGGCTTTGTAAAACCCCTCCAGTGCACAAGGGAACTATGTTCAAGTTGGGTGGTAGGCAGGCTTCAAAATGCCAGAATTGGTCTGAATGAGATAGTGGATTCCTTGCAAGCTCGAATGGGTCCTTTGTCGTCATTACTGGACCTACTACATTTCCGAATGGGCCAATACGAACCAGAATGGCCCTCTGCAGAACAAAGTAACCCTCCAAAGTCAATAATGGATCCTCTACAGTTTACAATGAGCCCACTCTAGGCCTGCATGAGCCCCTCTACAGGCCAAAATGGGCCCTCCATAGTCAATAATGCCCTCTACGTGTCAGAATGGCGCTCTATAGGGCAGATTGCATCCTCTACGGGCCAGAATAGGCCAGCTACATGCCAGAACGAGGCCTCCACAATCCAAAATGGACCCTCCGAAGTTCATAATGGGCTCTCCACGGTTTGTAATGGACGCTCTACGGGTCCAAATGGCTGCAAGCTGAAATGGGCCCTCAAAAGTTAATCATGTGCTTTGCACAGGTCAGAATGGCCCCTCTACAGGGTAAGAAGTGTCCTCTGCTTACATAATCCCTTTACAGCTCAGAATGGGCCTAACCAGTGGGTCCTACCAGAATGGGGTCTCCGCGGGCCCTCCAAGTTAGGTGTGGGGGGGGGGGAGGGACGCCGCCCCATCTTCAACTTTTACCTTTCTTCGGCTCCAGCATCCTTGAGCCTATTCTCCCATCGCACATAAATGGGACAGCAAGCTGTCTGTTCTCATGTGCTTCAATAGTCGATAGTTCAGCCACTTCAGAGCGCTACTCCATGATATAATTTTGTGCACACCTGCAAAACTCCAGAGAGGGGTCAGCCCTTCTTAATCACGACAGACCAGGGCAGACGTGTTGCTTTCTTTAATCAGCTGGGGGGGGGGGGGGGGGCTCAGCGGAAAGCCTTGGCCTAACCTGCCCTAAAAATATGATTGTTTCCCGAATTTTGGTCACCTGGAGTTGCGTCCGCGATGTTACAATTTTACCAGAGTCGTAGACTCACAACTGTATTCTTGCGCAGGAATGACATCATTTCAAGTTAATGTGAAATGCCCTTTTGTGAAAAGCTCAGAATTAGATGGTTACTGATGACTAGCGCTGTCACTGATCATGTTTTCTAACCACCACAGCTATCACTTTGCGACAAATATACTCGCCACTGTTGGGGGAAAACATGCGTTGCATCTGACCTGGGTCACCCCGTACATTTAAGAGCGACCGCATGATGCAGTCAAACTTTATCTTTATCCCAACTCGGGCGTCATCATTTGAACACAAAGAAAATTTAACTTTTTCAGGCTGAACAAACATATGAAGGGTTAGCATGCCAAAAACGCTCGGCGCTCAGAACAACATTTGGCACAAAACTATTATCATACTAATTACCCATTATATATTAACCGGTATTTCAGATAATTGTTTTGTACTCATTTGGCCCAGTATTACCTCTGCCCATGTGCATTGAGAGGGCTCAGAGGAGCAGGGGGGGGGGGGGGGGCAGCCCCACTGAAAGTATGCAAAATGTCGCCCATGGGCATGGGCTACAAGCCGTTGAAACCAGACAATTGCCTACTGATGAAGCTTTGTAACTATAGAGCGTATAAAAGTAGCAATTCCTTCCATGCATGTAGCGATCGCATGCTTCAGTAATCCTCACAAGACACTGGCACATAATAATGCATTACATCGACGTGATGGAAATTCACATGTCGCAAGACATCGTGACTGCGTAACAGTCAGACCATGGAGCAAACGATCCAAGGGGAAAGAAACTGAACAGACCACATCTGACAGTCCCGAAAGGCAAAATCTTGAAATCAGATAATGAGCAAGTTTTAAATGTTCATCACGTACAGGGAAATTCATATTAAGTCAGATTTATTCGCCCGAAACATTTGTCATGAAGCATGACTCGGTATGCCTCATAACAAACATAAAGTCTACGACGTAATGGCATGCAATGCAGTACTGGATGATTGGAGCTAGTCAATGGGCCAAAAAGAGCTGTAAAATTACACCGAAAACATCACACCGGGGTAATATTCACATAAGGCCCCGGGGCGGACACGTGCCACCCATATGAGATGCATGGCATGCATTATATGTGCGTGGATACACGTGAACAGCTTAACGTTCTGAGCAGACACATGAGACTTAACAGATCAAGAACATGCCACGTTATTTTACGCAACGCAAAAACTCATGCGCGTGGGGGATGCTGAACCAAATTTCAGTTGAAGTTTTTCAGCTGTGCCCCATTCCTCTCCATTGCAAATTCCTGCTTACGCGTCTGACCAAAACTTCCATGAAGTGCTGAACTACCTCAAAGCCGACAAGCATAGAACACAACTCACCCACTCCATGTCCGGTGATTTCTGACGCTGCTCGCCGGGCGAGGCATTGATCTGCGCGACCTTGGGGCAAGCGTTATAGCAGCCGGCGGCGGCCGTGTCAGGACGGGTCGCGGCGCCGGCGCTCCTGGCGTCGCACGCCGGTCGGGCCGCCCTCCGCCGCACCACATCGTCAGGACACCTCTCGCAATGACTCCCCCTCGCCGCCCTGTCCGCCGGCCGCGACGCCCCTCCGCGGCGTGTTCGTCGCTGCTCGGCGTCAGCTGATCCCGGCAGTTGATCTGGCGCGCCGTGACGTCACCACTCGTTGGTGCCCCGCAGGCACCGCGATGGAGAAGCACGATCTAAAACGGCATGTTGCACATCGGTCTCAAACGACCTGTTGCATACCGGTCTCGGGCAAATGTTGCACACCGGCCTCAAATGAAATGTTGCATTCCAGTCTCAAACGAAATGCTGCACACCGGTCTCAAACGAAATGCCACATTCCAGTTTCAAACGAAATACCGCATACCGGTGTTAAACGGAAAAACATTCCGTGTTTTACTCGCGTGCAAAAAAACGGTATCTAAAAACTGTGTGCTGGAAGGGAGTCCAGGAGCAACAGATGGGAGGAGATTGCAACACATGGAGATCGCGTCCACTAACATCGAACCGTCGGCCCACGACCTCGGCAATGCGCCACGCTCCAATTTCGTGTCAATACCACTATCCTTTGAAAAGCTGGCCTATGACGCATGCCCGCAAATGCTTTATCGGCACCATATTTCCCTTCCCTTGCTTGCTTAGTCTCCGTTTGCATCATCCCAAAAGGCAGTCTCTCCACATGCCTCATGCTTGGCCTACACATACTTTTCCCATATGAAGCAGAGCACCACCGTTTTTGACGCACTTTGTTTAATTAAAACGCGTTTTAGCAAATTTGTTTCCCGATACACATTGTCTGGATTGCCTGGATACGCCCATGAACTTTCAGTTTCACAAAGTATACATACTGCATCAATTTTGACATCGTTGTACCGAAATTAACAGATGAGCCAGACGAAACATGCATGCAAAATATGGGTTTTTGCCCTCTGTTGTTCCTTCGTAACACAACACAAGCAAACCTTTCCGTAAAGACCCTTTGCCGTACCGTACGGCACCATGGTACCTTTTTTAGGTTTCATCCCAGCCCGGCGACAAAAATATCCTATGATTTTTAGTTGCTCGCTCGACACATCGCCACGTCGGCGACAAATCAGTGGACTCCCTAAGCACTTATGGCGCGCCTGGCAGACGATTCGCCGTTTTTACCAGCCGACTCTCAGCGTCCTAAACTAGACAGTATAACATCCTGAACCGATCCAGATATGGGGACTCACTCGGCCGCAGTTGCATGTTTCAATCGCTGCGATGCGATTGATGTGAGGTGGGCGGTGACTTTCAACACACTGCGGCATTGCAAGCGGCATTCGTAATACAGTATCACGAATACCTGCCGAGGATTTAAGGTCTGGGCGTTGTTTACTTCATTAGCGGTGCCACGATGCAGCATCCTGTCCTCAGCGTTAAGAGGCATTGACAGTTCAGATTCAGTTCAGTTCAGTTCAGGCTGACTGTGCACGCGCGCCTGTAGAAGACCGCCGGTACCAAGTTGTTTCACAGTCGATGAAACAACTTTGTGGTATTCGATTTCGTCTCTCATCTTCTGTTCTCATCGGCTTGGCTGCATGACGATGTCATAAGTCTCGAGTGTTAATTGATGCTGTACCCACCTGTTAATGTTGTCACCCTTCAAAATTACTAGCATGACCTGCCACCATGTCCGCATGTCACCATGTCTTTGGTCAAAGCGGCAAAAATCTCAGCTCTGGTGGTAGGCGACTTTGCATGGTTTACCGACTGAGCTGAACTTGTGAATGTGGTACTGTGTGGTATGTAATGTGATGCTGACCTGAATGTGGTACTTAATTTCCTTATGTTATGTGGCAAATCCAAAGCGATATGGCGGCGAGGTTAGACGAGATGCCCATCAAATAATAGAAAAGCTATTTTCGAAAAGAAAACCGATCTCTTGTGTAGCGCTAGCATCCATTTACATTCGTTTTCAGGTCGATCGTTAAGTGATAACTGATGTGCAAGTACGGATTTTCTTACCACATGTTTCCTGTCTCAGCGAATGATAAGACGCAACAATGAACTGGCTGATCGGGAAGTGTCAAAGTAACAGCCCTCTCACCTTAAAACCACCTCAACAGTCGCCCAGCGCAGCGCGCGGGCCCTGTTTATACACCAACTGCTAATTCTTTCTTTATTAATTCTTTCTTGATGAATTCTTTCGGGCAGTTTGGCCAAATATCTTATG